CTCCAGCATCACCGCTGACATTACAAAACAGATCTCAACTCAGGGGCAAACGGCTTCCCCATTCTCAATTTTATTTTAACTCCTCCTTCCTTTATTTATCGCTTAGAGAATTCTGCCTGGAGCCAATGCCAGTCAGGCAAGGCGACCTCATGCAGCAGGGTCTCTAGGCAGAACCGGCTCAACATACACCAGCATAAGAGATGTTAATTCAAGTTACCTGCATGGTGGGCCCTCTCTCTGCCTCCTCTCATCCTACCCATCCTTCACCACCTCCCCCTCCATGCAGCCCTCACTGACCACACCAGCCCACACTGATCGCACCACCCTGATCTGAACTCCGGAGAGCTCATTATCTGCACCCCTCATCTTGCAGTTAATCATGTTCCGCCTTGCGCCACGGCTTCTCATGCTCTCTCAAACTGTCATCCAACTTTTCTCCTGCTTATGAGTGGAACCCTCCATGAGCAAATGGAGGGCAGGAGCAATATGGTCTATTATCTTTCTGTCTCCAGTATCACCGGGCAGAGATCTTAACACAAACGTGGCAATTGCTACTTAATTATTCTCTGAGTGGAAACAATGCAAATCTACAGAACCACCTTAAAAAGGCGATTTAGTGCACAGACAACAACCTTTTCCAACGATTTAAAACGCTCGTTTGCACAGCTTTTTCTTGTGTCTAACCCAGATCCCTCCTGCTGTAGTTTCAACTCTCACCTCGGTCCATTATCAGAGTAACTGCCAAGATCGGGCTTCTTGGAGGGAGATGAACACAAACCCAGGAGCCTGAATGTGTCTGCTGTCCTCACGAATGGCTTAGGTCACGGCTCCGGAAATTAAAGCCAGCTTTGTTTTCCAAGGTGGACATCACTCAGGGAATTTGGCTGGAATAAGGAAGCCTGTAGCCATTTGGTTTGAAAAGTCAAATGTTTTCCCCACATAAACATACCTGCTATCCCTCAACAGCTTTGTTTTAACTTCTTAACGTGGCGAGAGGCCTGGTGTTTATTAGCTGATAAAGTACGACCTCGTTCTAAGAATGCACCCTCCTTGTCTGTGAGGAGTTCAAAGGGAGATGCCATTTCTTAGAGGAGAGATGGAAACAGAGACGAGTTTGGGTTGGCCTCCAGGACCACCACTGAGAAGCCACCTGAGCTTTTTTCCCCCAGCCCAACACCCACACTTTTTTTTAAACTTCAACCCCAAATTCAGATCCTGTCTGATGTTTCAATTCCTCGTTGAGGGAGAGATTGTTAATGGGATTGGCAATTAAGACAATTAAATACACGAAAAGAAGCACATTCTGTAATAGCGAGCCTGCAAGACAGTTCCCACTGGAACAGCGAGGGCAGCTGGGAATTCATCTAGAACCCAATATGTGGCAGAACAGACAGCTTCATTTGCCACCTGCTTTCCCATCGGTCACCAATTCCTCCCAAGCCCACATTCAGGGCTGCTCTGAAAATTCCTGGAGGCGGAGGGGGATGGGAGAGAGGCAATCCCAGGCCTTAGGACCCTCTGCCCACCTCACATTAGGTCCAGGTGGGATAGAAACGGGCAGCCTCAGAATTCTTCACCACCGCCTATTGTCCCTGACTACTGACAGTCAAAAAGGACACTGGCCTTACAAGGGACCTGGCACTTAGCATTTTAATTCCCCCACTTCAAAAGTGCTCTCCTCTGGGTTGTAACTAAACTTCCACCCTTAAAACTTGCTCTAAGCCCACCGCTTCTGATTAACCCCATAGGTTTCTCATTCCACTGATGATGCCCAAAGCACACTTAAAGTTAAAGTGTGCTTAGATGAATGATTTTCTTGTGTTTCACCCTGTGCCTGGAGGTGAAGGCAGTGGCTGCTGCCAAAGGGCTGATTCCCCATTTCCCTGTTCCGAGATTTACCCTGTTCCGGTTCTGCCTCTCCTGATGGAACCTCTCCCAGGGGTCCTGCTCCCGCCTGCAACTGTGGGAATCTTCCAGCCAGAACATATCACTTCTGGAGGGGAGCTGGGGGCCTCATGATGCAGCAAGGCTGCGTGGGGCCCTGCTCTACCACCAGAACCGTTCCCCAGAGGCCCAGACAGAGCATCCACACTCCTCCATCCCACCCGCATTCCCACGAGGTCGCCTGTCTTCCCATCGAAAAAGTGGAGAAACTGAGACCCATACATTTTATCAAAACCCTGGGCCTTAAAAATAAAATAAAAGAACAGAAAAACAAGCAGGGGCTTCTTAGAAATGTCAGTGTTCTCTCTCTTGACTTTGGTGGTAGATAGATGGGGTGTCTTTCGCTGTTATTTAAGCTGTACTTATGTTTTCAGATTTTTCAGACACTTTCATAAGCATGTCGTATTTCACAGTTTAAAACACGGCCTCTCCCGCTGAAGGCATCAGTGTCAGTTGACCTCTGACCCCTCTCCCAGGGGCTCTCTACCTGAGGGCCTCAGGGGCAGGGGGGCAGGGAGGGGGTGCAGCGCCTGTGATCCCCAGCACAGCCAGCAAGGAGAAGCATACAGGATTCAGTTGTGACTTTCCCGCAGCTATTTGGTTTCTAATTGCTTTTCCTGATCCTTACTCTGAGCAGGCAGGGAGACCAGGGTCTGGTGTGGACGGAAGAACATGAGCTGGAACCCAAATGAGCCTAAAGGACTTCGAACCAGGACTGGAATAATGAAATTCAGAGCACCCCCCTTTTCTTCTGGGACAAAAATATATTAATACTGTTCAGAAATCCCTGGGGAAATCATTTGCAGGGGCTTTTGTGAGGGGAAGGAGACCCTCAAGGGATGTCCAGGCGAAGAACTCCAGCCAGCACACCCAGAGTCTTCCTCTCAGGAAAGACTCAATTCCTCCAGTTGCCAAGGGCTGAGAGAGGTGGCAAGGTTGGCGATTTCCTCCTCTACCTTCGGGCTCTGACACACATCCCAGCACCTCCAGCAGCTACTACCACCTGCTGTATTTTTAACAGGAATGGGTGCTCCATGTCCCTTTGTGCGCTTTTCCCCTGAGCTCCCCCTACTCCCACTCTGGCTGGAACTGGGGTTATTTGCTGGAAAATCTCGGTGTACTTTCGGTCAGCCAACACTTTCTGTGACCAGCAATCCAGCATTTCCTCCCGACTAGCAAGGAGCCGGGCAGCAGCAAAGGACCAGGTAATGATCACAAATGAACCAAGACGCGAACTCAAGTGGTTCAGCAGAAATCCAGGCCACAGGGGGCAGGGGACGTGACTCTGAACTGTCGGGCTCCTGTTGCAGGACTGTCTGCTGAGATGTCCCCCAAAGGTCACATCTAGTATGCAGAGTAGCTAAGAAGGCCCCCAAAGTACCTGCATAAGCAATGTCCATTTTCAGGCTATTTTTCAGTTACCGTTTTATGATCCCTCCCCAAAGACTGCTGCTTAATTCTTTTTCCCTCTTTTCACTGGCCCTCCCCACCTTATAATCACCGATCTCAGGCCACCACAGCAAAAATGGACAGTGCAGAGCCCAACGACACTAAAGGGGAAAGGAGCCCACAAGAGCCCCCAAAACCTTGGCTGCCACTAGTGAGGGCACCATTCAGACCAAAATTCTCTCCTCTCCCACCTCCTCCAACTTTCATGGAGGTGCTTCAGACAAAGCCTCTTTTATTTTTTCCCCCTTTTCTCAAGATGATTTCCTCCATTGCACTGAATCTATCGCAATGCTGGAGCTGTTGCAGGAAAACAGAAGTGGGATTAAGGGACCCAAACTTTCTATCTCCAAAGTTTAAAATGAAGACAAAAGCAAGCCAGAACTGCTGGTCTCTCTAGGCCAAACACAGATGCAGGGCAGGGAACGTTAAAAATCAAACTTACCCCTTACTGGTACCACCAGCAAATTAAAACAAGGCAGCTTCTACCCACAGCTAGAGCCAATGGTGGAATTTTCCCATCACTGGAAAACTATGCCAGCATTGGAAAACAAGTTTGGACACACTTCAGTATTCTTAGTCCCTTTTTCCAGAAAAGGGCTCAGAAAAGTTGAGTGATTTGCCTGAGCTCACACAGCAAATCAAACTGCAATAGTCCCCAAGTTCATGTCTGGTTCTGAAGTCCCTACCCTGTAAACACATGATAAAGCAGACAGAGATAAACAGGAAAAGGCCCTGTTTGTCTCTCCGTGTTCCCACTGAGCAAGCAGCAGCTAGATTTTCTCCATGCTGCCAGCCTGGGTCCACATGGTTGTGGTCGCCTCTGTGGTACATTTTCTGGTGGGGGTGGAGGACCACTTGGAAAGACAGTGTCCTTTCTCACACCTGATCTCAATTTTGGTTCGGGGACGTCCGGCGTTTAATATCAAGTGTAGAGTTGTTGCTGTATCTGCCCCAACCAGAATGAGAATATCACCAAGAAAAAAAAGAGAGAGAGAGAGATGGTATAAGAGGGTGGAGATGAAGGAGCTTCTTAAAGCAGCTTTATCTACAGAGACAAAGACTCAACAGCCCCCACACCACAACCAGTCCACCTTCCCTCATGAAGGCAGCTGGGGGAAATGAATGGCGCTGACAGCTTCCACCGCTGTCTGAGCTGGAAACTGGGGGAGTTTCCAAGGCTGTTTCTCCTGGACTTTTCGGGTGAGGTCCCATCTAGTCAAGGGAATCAGGATTTGCTAGCCAGACTCATCTGAATCGGCCCACAATAAAGCTGAAGTCTGCAGCAGGAGGCTGGCCCCCTCCCCACATCAGCATTAAGGGCAATACTTTTCCTTCATCATCTCATTTAAAAGAGGAACCACACCTCCTGACCACACAGGGTGGGCTCAGAAGTGGCAGCTGGGCCAGATACAAAGGACCTTCGATATACAGCCTTCCCAACAGAGCTCACCTATAGACTAAAGGCTACCCCGAACCTCTGAAAAGGGCAGCAGCAGAACCACAGGTCACATTCGAAAAATTACCACAAATTTTTAAAAGTACACACATGGAGCTAGCTGTCCCCTTCTCACTGCTCCCCAAGGAACACAGACAGGTAACACACACAGGTAAGAGCACACTCACCTGCGCTCTGACTTCCTGACTCTGTGCCGCTCAGGCCAAACGAGGAATGTCATTGGTTTATTCTGGTGAGCTCCTTAGTGGCTGCTGCCATAGGATACAGGCTTTATTTAACATAACGGAGTCTTCTTGCTCCCCTAGCCAAGACCTTGCACCCACTCTGGAGAAAATCTCCCTGAGGCATCAATCTCCAAGGCATCTAAGTTCCTTCCTTGGGCTGACATCTCGCCCAGCCGAGTGATGAGCTGGCTGGAGAAGCCGGAGCCTGCAGTCCCTGTGGTAGCTCCAGCAAAGGTGCATTATTTACCACAGCTGCTATTTTAATTAATATAGAGATAAATTCAATACAGCTCGATAATTGTCTCAGCAACCTCAGGCCGGAAAATAAAGGACTCCCAGCTGCATGTGATCGCCTCTTTCGGATTCTGGTTCTAACTGCCGGCTCAGCATGTGTGCAACTTGAACCGAGGCCCCAAACCAGCCCAAGCACAGCGCAGCCACCTGTCAGTTCTCCACCCTAGGGGTTGGTTCAGCAGGCGGGCAGGGATCTCCAAGCACTAGCTTAACCTCTGGCTCCACCTAACGGCAAGAAGTTCACACTCCCCTTTCACAGATGGACAAACTGAGCTTCAATCCAGGAAAGTACCAAAAGGAGGAAACTAACTCCGCAAAGGAAACCATTAGGTCCTTTGCTTGGCCTCCCAGATGTAATTTTCTTCCCCTGCCATCTTACAGGAGGGAAAGTGATGTCAACTTTTTAGTTAGCATCTTGGATTTCTCCAGCCCTTTGTCTGCGAATAGCGCTTCACACGCATTATTCAAACAATCTTGGATGGGTGAGTCACTAGAACGTCTGCCGCATAAGGAAGAACAAACACAAGAGGCCTGAAATGAACTGAAAGGCAGAGGTGCAAATGGTACCTGACGTCCAGCCTAGGGTCTGGCCGAACATCTGCTCATCCTCTCTGACCTTCGCCTGGCTTTCCCATCACTTTCATCCTGTTAAAACACTTCTGCGTGGGGCGGGGAAAGCTAAGTCGCCGGTTGGGCTCGCCAGAGGAGGGTCTGCGCTCACCTTTAAATCAGGAGGCTTGTTTCGGGGACCCGGGTTGGGCGCCGCGGCAGCGCCCGCATCTGAAATTGGCCCGTCAGCAGAGTTAGCACCCGTGGCCTCCCCAGGCCGGAGGTCCGCGCCCGGCAGGTGGCAAGCGGCATCTTCCAGTCCAGCTCCATCCTCCTCGCCCTGCTGTGGCTGCAGCTCGTCCGATTTGCACCTCTTCATGGTGTATGTGGGTCGGCAAGGGGAAACTGTCCTTCCAGCGCGCCGTCTTGGGGGAGACCGCACCCCTTCTTACACCCAGAAACGAGGCCGGGGTCTAAATTATTAACGAGGAGGGAAGTCGGCGGATCACAATTTCTTGAATTAAAAAATAAATCTTTTTAAAGGAGGGTGAGGGAGGGACGAGGAGGGGGAGCCTTGGTTACAGCTTGGAATAGTTCATTACGACCTGGGGAGCGGAGGCAGGTCACAGTCGAGGCTGGGCAGCAGGAGTCCTTGGGCAGTCATTGGAGCGGGAGGAGGAAGACAGCCCCCGGCCCCCAAACTTTCTGCTTCTGGGCATGGGCAGGGCGGAGGGGAGCTGGGCGGCACAGCGCATCCCTCCAGG